CGCCACCGTTTCGATCTTCTGCCAGGGGGCGAGGAGTGACTGGTCCACCGCGCTCAGGTCATCTAACACGCCACGGATCGTGGTGTAGGGCATCTGATCGAGCTGAACCCCGGTTGGAACCCCTACATGCTGGTAGGGCTCACCTTTTCCCAGAGCCGGAACGGGCTCCTCCTGGATGTTGTACACGGTGTCCAGTACATCGTTCCGGCCTCTTAGATGTAGTGTCGCGCATTTCTTTGGGTTGAAGGCGAGACCCAGGTTCGTTGCGGTATCTTCAACGACGAGTAGCATACTCCTCATCTCCTCTTCTTTTGTCGCCAGCAGCGTGAGGTCATCCGCGTAGGGCATCCCTGTTTAAACCCCTGATTGGATGGGGATTCTTTCCGTGTATCCCTCAGAGGTACGGACCCTCGTCGCACAGTCTGTGTACAGACTGGCGACGATATTTGTGATCGCCCGCGGTGCTCCGGCGTTGGAGAGCGACTCCAAGATAGTGGCGTGCGAGGCCAGGGATAGTGGGTCATGGTCTCATATTTAAGACCTCCCACCCACACCATTGTGTTCCTTTCGTCAAGGGCTTTCGAATGACATATAACAGATCCGGATTTGCGTCCCATCTTTTGGTAAAGGTCAACCGAGATCTTTTTTGTAGAGAATTAAGTTTCCTACTATTTATGTTCTATGATATTTTTTGATCAGATGCGTAGTTTTCGAGATATATCGAGATATTTAAAAGTTCCGAAGCCGCACCAACATAATAGAGATACAGAAACACCGTGGCCCCTTTCTTTGAGATAACTCTGCACTATTGCGAGCTGCAAATGCCACTTCCAGCTTAGCTGTGCAGAAGAAGAACAACAAGAAGAAGAAATATCTCGAATATGTCCGTGAGACCCCATGACATTGGTATTAAAGGTAGGTACATTGATCTGTTGGAATGTATCTGTATATGACATTATATCTAACGTAGATATAGTAATAATGATATTGTTATTAAATGTACATTGATCTGTGGGTAGGAATCAGTATATTACATTATATCTGATGTAGATGTCGTAATAATGACATTGGTGTTAAATGTAGGTACTTTGGTCTGTTGGAATGTATCTGTTGGCGAAATTCCCCAAATTGTCTCAGCCCACGAAGTTGGCAACGAAAGTATTTCGTGCGTCGTTACCGATAGCGGCAGCACCTCTCGGGCCCACTTTGTCCACGCCGTCGCCTCTCCACCCGCTTGCCGGCACGATCGATGCCATCATCGATCATGTTCTTCTTGATCGAACGCTTGATGCGAAAACACGTGTTCGTTGATGTCGCAGAATCGTTCATGTTCGCAGTACACGCGACGTGGAAACTTTCAGACCACGCCGTTTAATAAGAATAAGTGTCCTCTCATATTTAGTTCAGTAATCTAGAGTGTAAGCATTGTATATACCGTTTGTGAGTAAAATTCCGTGACCACGCGTATAACTTGTCCGTGACTTCGACCACGCGTTTGTAAAGTGCATTCGTGACTCTTGTACATATTTCTGTTTGTGTAATTATACCGTTTGTGTTACGTCAAGGCGTGTCTCATTTACTCTCCGAACCTGCAGACCTCGTGAACTCGCAAATATTTGGTCATTCGAGCCGGATAAGACACGCCCGGCTGTGTAACGGTTCGCAGTGACGCGCAACGGTTGAACGCCGCCATTACGCCTTGTGTCCGCCACACTTCGAGAACTCAGTGACTCTCTTGTAAGGAGTGCGCGGAAATTGTGAGACAGTGACTCAGTTAATTTTAAGTGACGTTCTTAGTTAATTAGTGACCACGCAGTAACTTTCCGACAGAAATGCCAAAGTCGCGCGATACTTCACCCGCGTCGCAACCGGCGGAAGTGTCGGCCGGCAGTTTGGCAGAGGAAGCGCACGCAGCGCCGCACCTTTTACAAATGCCGGAAGATCCGATGCGGCCATCTGCCCTCGTACGTTCGGCATCAGGTGCGTCGGTCACGACGCCTGAAGACGCCTCGCAGCCCGCTCAGGGGACGCGCATCCGCTCTCCATCCCGGCTCACGTCAGAGCTACAAGTTCGAGCCAGGGTGCAAGAAGAGCGGTTGGAAACGATCCTGGGCTTTGTGGAAGACCTCCATGCCAGCGCAGCAAAGGAGCCTCTGGAGATGATAATGGAGGAGGTGACGGAAACGCGGAACACTCTCATGGAACTTCACATAAATTTCCAGCGGGCGCATCAGGACCTGAGTCGCTTGTGGCCCGTGTCTCAACTCGAGCACGGGTACTTTAAACAAAAATCAGCCTCCGCAGAGGAAAGGGCCGCTCTTTCGGCGCGCAAGCTCCTTGCGCAGCTGGAACGCAGATTGACTCTGGCCGCTCAGACGTCGCAGCCCACGACGACTACGCAGACCTTGCAACCGGCACCACGCAGGTCACGACTACCGGAGATTCCGCTCCCGACGTTTGAAGGGGAGTATGAGAAATGGCAAGATTTTAAGTCCGCCTTCACTTCAGTCATCAAGGACCGCGCAGAATTGACAGACGTTGACCGGCTCCATTACCTAAAAGGGGCAGTCGGCGGAGCAGCCGCCAATCTCATCCAGCACCTGCCTCCTACAGAGGACGCGTTCGCCCGTGCATGGGAACTGCTGGATGAGCGATATGAGAACAAACGGCTCAACGTTCAGTCTCAGTTAGACCGCATATACAATCTGAAGCCGATGAAACAGAGAAGAGCGGCCTCTCTCATAAAAATGACGAACATTATCGGCGAGACCCAGCAGTCGTTGCGGAGTTTCCAGCTCCACGATCCACACAACTGCTTCCTGCTCGGCTTCTTGGTGCGTTTGCTAGATACCGATACTCGAGAACGGTGGGAATCCTCGCTGGCCTCGCAGGTGGAATATCCTACCATGGAAGAGTTCTTGCGCTTCCTACTAGCACGGGCACGCACTCTGGAACAGTTGGAGCGGATGGCGGAGCAAAAGGCCTCACAGCCCGCGCAGCCAACGTCAGGACGTCCTGCCAGCCGCGACATCCGGTTGGTGCAACAAAAAACCGCAGTACACGCAGCCGCCGTTACTCAGCCCACGCCATCGACGACCGGCACTACTACCACTTCTCGTCCACGAACAGCAGCACTGTATCCTTGTGCGCTCTGCTCCAGGGACCATTTCCTATCAGCGTGCCCTGTATTTAGAGACAAGAACGTGGAGGACCGCATCAGTGTCGTGAAGGCCCAAGCAGTTGCCGTACGGCACAGAGATGCAAGTTGTGCAGTGAACAACACCACACGGCACTCCACGGTGGTGACCTCACCAGGGTGATGGTGCCCGGTTACCAGTCCACGCTGCCCTCGACAGCCTCCACGCCATCGCAGTCCAACACGAAGGGAACGCAGGCCACTGCTGCTCAGTCGACCACGCATTGAGGAGTCGGTGCAGCCGTCGACGCCCACGCAGCCTGTTCAGCCCACGCCTTGAAGAATCGCTCAGCCCACGCACTCAGACCACGCAGACCACGGACAACACTTCTAGCAACGGCACTCGCCAGAGTGCACACTGACCTCGCAACGCAGCATGTAAGAATTCTGGTCGATTCAGGCTCTGAAGTCTCTCTTATTTCAGAGTCTTTAGTAAATCAGCTTAGACTCAGACGACAACGCTCCTCGTTGGATGTTCACAGAGTTGGTGGAGCACGGACCTCGCAGACCAATGGAGTGGTCAATATTAGCTTCCATTCAAACTACAGACCACTCTCAGTCACCATTCAAGCACACGTGCTTGCGAAGGTGACCACATGCTTACCATCGGACCCGCCAGCTCGTCCAACGCTGCCATCGCATCTGGAGAAATTGAACCTAGCTGATCCTCAATTTCTCAAATCCGGACCAGTGGACATCATTCTCGGAGCAGACGAATACGGGCAAGTCATCAAGCCAAACATTATTCGGCACGCTTCAACACCGTTGATCGCTCAACTTTCAATCTTCGGTTGGCTCATAATCGGGCCCCTCGTGGGCATTCAGACAATTCGCAGGACTTCTCATCAGGTGACAGTCAATAATACTGATCGCCAACTGAGTGAGTTACTCAGCCGCTTCTGGACGCAGGAAGAGCCACCGCCGGACACGGCACCCTTGCACAAACCAGACGAGCAAGAGTGCGAAGATGATTTCAAGACCACGCATGCAAGAGACGCCTCAGGAAGATACATCGTGCGATTGCCGCTCAAACTACACCCTCGAGCACTTGGCAATTCGTATCAGACGGCGCACAATTGTCTTCAGAGGACCCTCAGACGACTCAGCAAGGACGCTCAGTACAAACAGCTGTACACCAAGTTCATGCTCGAGTATGAGCAGCTTGGTCATATGGTAAGACTGATCAACGACTCAATAACTAGTCCGTTTCAGTACTTTCTTCCGCATCATGGCGTTCTGAAGTTGGGCAGCACGACCACCGCACTGCGTGTGGTTTTCAACGGCTCCAGTCCAACTTCTTCAGGATACTCGCTGAACGATCTTCTACACACCGGTCCAAATCTGATGCTGAATATCGCAGATCTGCTCATCTGGATACGCAGATACAAACATCTGTTTGCAACCGACGTCACGAAGATGTACCGACAAATCAAGGTGCATCCAGATGACTGGAGCTTGCAGCAGATACTCTGGCTTGATGACACGCAGAAGGAAACGTAGTACCAGCTGACCACGGTCACGTACGGGACGAAAGCTGCTCCGTACTTGGCTGTTCGAACACTCCTGCAACTCGCTGAGGATGAAGGGTCAAAATATCCCCTTGCCGTGGAGCCCATAAAAAATGGCAGGTATGTCGATGACATTTTTGGTGGCGCAGATATCGCAGAACATCTACAAGATATTGCAAATCAGCTGACGCAGTTGTGTCAAGCGGGTGGATTTCCACTCGCAAAATGGCATTCCACGAGCAAATCGTTGCTGGAAGACCTCGCACCAGACCAGAACAACGCATCAATCTCATTCGACGACTGCGCAACCAAAATACTCGGAATTAAATGGATTCCACATCAGGACACGTTTAACTTCTCGACCATATCAGCTACTCAACGCGTGCAGTTCACGAAACGCATCGTCCTCTCAGAAGTAGCACAACTCTTTGATCCACTCGGTTTTGTTGCACCTGTAATTATCAGAGCTAAAATTCTTATTCAAGAGTTTTGGTTACAGGAACTCAGTTGGGACGACATCCTGCCGCTTCATATCACTCAACGATGGTTACGCATCAGAGAAGATCTAACCAGCTTGGCCAAGCTTTCCATCCCACGATGGTTCAACACCACGACCACGTCGACAGTTGAACTTCATGGCTTCGCTGATGCATCAGTCCTCGCAATGGCAGCCGTCATCTACCTCGTCGTACACGCACCGTCCACGGGTACCCAAGCTTCGCTTGTCTGCTCGAAAACGCGAGTGACACCACTCAAACGTCTGACCATCCCGAGGTTGGAACTCACAGCAGCGCTGCTCCTCTCCAAACTGATGCGGCATGTTCACGCTACTTTGAACATGACCGTTACTCAGACATTTTTGTGGACGGACTCAGAAGTCACTCTTGCATGGATCAAGACGCATCCCTCCAAATGGAAGGATTACGTTCGCAACAGGGTAATCCAGATCCAGGAGATTACGCAGAACTTTCACTGGAGGCATGTACCAGGATCATCGAATCCAGCTGACTGCGCGTCAAGAGGCATGGCGACAGAACAGCTCCAACAGCACTCGCTTTGGTGGACGGGACCACCGTGGATCACGCAATCTCAGGACACGTGGCCCAAGCAGACCAGTGTCGACGCAGACGAGTTGGACGCCCCCGAAGCTCGTGCTGTCGTCTCACTCCACACGGCAAACGCAGTAAAGGAATATTCATGGGAATTAATCTATAAATATTCTTGTGTTAACAGATTACTCAGAATCACCGCTCTATGCCTCAAATTCGTGGACAAGCTGTTCAAACGACAGGACACTTCGCCCACGCATTTCGTCTCAGCAGCTGATATGGAAAGAGCCAGAATTTACTGGATTCAGGCCACGCAGTTTGCATTCTTCAAGGACGAACTCGCTGCCATCACAAAGGGAACTACACTTCCGTCAACGCATCCATTTACGAGGCTCACCGCTTACCTTGACCATCAAGGGATCGCCAGAGTAGGCGGACGTCTCCAACACTCAGAGCTTTCGCACGACGGCAAACATTCTGTCATCTTGCCTCGTGATTCAAGATTCTCTGCTCTTCTCATCGACCACGCTCATCATTAGATCATGCATGGAGGTACGCAATCCACCCTCGCTTTCCTCAGACAACGCTACTGGATTCTCGGTGGACGAGCTCCAGTGAAAACGCATATCCTGCGGTGCGTGAAGTGTGCTCGGCAGAGGGGGATTCGTGCCCATCAACTGATGGGCCAACTACCTCTTTGTCGGGTCACTCCATCGCGCCCGTTCACACACACTGGTGTGGACTATGCAGGACCGCTCACGCTGAAGACTTGGAAAGGCAGAGGAGCCAAGACGCAGAAAGGGTGGATTTGCGTATTCGTCTGCTTCGCAACATCAGCTGTGCACTTGGAAGTTGTCACAGACTACTCAGCCGACGCATTCATCGCAGCCTATCGCACATTCGCAGCAAGGAGAGGAACTGCAGCCTCTCTCTACTCAGATTGCGGCACCAACTTCCAAGGAGCGGACGCGCAGTTAAAAAAGCAGTTCACGGACAGCACACGCGAAAATCAGGACATCACAGCTCTACTCGCCGAGGATGGTGCGCAGTGGCATTTCAACCCTCCTGCCGCTCCACACATGGGTGGAAAATGGGAGGCGGTGGTCAAGTCTCTCAAATTCCATCTGAAGAGGACGATTGGAGATTCTTTATTGACGTTCGAGGAATTAATAACATTGTTCGCGCAGATTGAAGCCATCCTCAATTCAAGACCGTTGGAACCACTCAGCGATGATCCAGACGACGTCTCAGCCCTCTCACCAGGACATTTCCTGATCGGATCGCCGCTCAACGCAGTTCCAGAACCAACGCTTCTCGATGTCGCAGTCAACAGGTTGTCAAGGTGGCAATTTCTGCAGCAGCGCCTCCAACAATTTTGGAGACTCTGGTCCATGCAGTACCTGCAGCGACTCCAGGCCATCTCTAAATGGCATCATCCGTCCAACGAGATCAAGGTAGGCTCTCTTGTTCTCATTACTGATGAACGCTTGCCCCCAGGGAAGTGGCCCATGGCCAGGGTTCTCAGTCTGATGCCAGGAAAGGATGGACTGACCAGGGTCGTCACGCTCAAGACGGCCACCACGATGCTCACGCGGCCCATCGCCAAGCTGGCTCTTCTTCACCAGCCCTCTCCGGACAGCTCGGACACGCAGACTACATCACCGACCAGTCGCTGATGGCCGGGGGGAAATGTTGGCGAAATTCCCCAAATTGTCGCAGCCCACGAAGTTGGCAACGAAAGTATTTCGTCGGTGCGTCGTTACCGATAGCGGCAGCACCTCTCGGGCCCACTTTGTCCACGCGGTCCCCTCTCCACGCGCTTGCCGGCACGATCGATGCCATCATCGATACGCAAAAGAAAATATTTCAACCAGTCGAGCGACTTTAATGCGACTCAAAAAACTCAGTCTTCTTTTATACGGAAAAATGACTGGTTGAATAACGCATTTTAAGAAAATATAAGAAAATATACGAAAATATAAAAGAATATACCAAAAGGGACCAGAACGCAATACCGTGACTCTAATCGGAATGCGAAAGGTAATATACACACGACGGTTACAAAATTTCGTCGGTCGTCTACGATTTAAACGCCTTTCACCAAGGACGAGTTGTTGTTCGCTCGATTCGTCTTGAAAACATACACTGAAATCACGACGCACGAAGGTCGCGTGATCGTGGAGCGCGTATGCAAAAAAGAACGTTTAAATTTACTAACCGTATAGCGAAATATTAACTTTTACGCGCCTCTCAAATCGCAGAATGGCGAGCCAGTGGATTCCGAGGATACTTCCGGTCCAGCGAGGTTTTCACCTGCGAACCTCAGATCGACAGGGGCACTGACTTCACGATTTCACTCACACTCAAAGGATGAGAAAGTCGCGCACTAAGTCCCAACCCTCGACTCCTTTGCAGATTGAAATACGTGACTTTAAGAGTATCCGATAACCGTGGATTTGCCGGAATCCGTCAACGTTCTTCCCGTCGTACACGGCGTACTCAAGGAAGAAATTAAGACTCCCAAGAGCGAGATTACGGCCCTCCAAATTGCAAGGTAAAATTGCCAGAGCACAAGCAAAACGAGGATGACGCGACTAGGTTTTCCTAGGAATCAACGACGTCTCGGATATGCCTGTGTAGAGCGATCTTTCGAGGGTCCTGAGTTCCAAGATAGAAGGCCACTACTAAATGAAAGGGAGATGTCCAAGCTCGGGCTCTAGTCACGACTTGCTGGATCGCAATCTTAAGACGGTTGTCTCTAGGAAGAGAGCCGTAGGCGAAAGCGTCCGTTCTGCTTGTCGTTTGGGACCAGAGTGTCGATCGATGGATCGACACTGAGCTCCTTCTGATCCGGCGTTCGAAGGAGGGGATCCGCGCACGTGCTCCACTGTGACTAATAAGTAGGGATAGTACGTACCATCGCTATAGTTCCGATCTCCCAAGAAAGATCTATACTACTCGTACTATACTATGTAACTGTATAAATGTACGGTTACATATACCCCCCTCTCGGATCAAGAGCGTTGGTAGGTACTAATGAACGCGACACTAACTCCCTCATTCATACAAAAAAAAAAGAAATGAAACTCTGATTACATTAAACCAAAAAAATATATATATGACTCTGTCATATGACACAAAAAAAAATATAAATGTTCTCTTTGGTGTTGCCGGTATAAATAATAATAAAAAAAAAATGAATTTATCAAATCCTTCCACACATCCATCACACACTTATACAGGGTGTCCCAGCATCGGTAGTACAAACGAGGAGGGGGTGATTCTACATAAAAAAACAAATCGAAAATAAAGAAAAAAATTTTTTCATTTGTGGCTTCGTTCTCGAGAAAATCATTTTTGAATATTCAGCGAGTATGCGTATACTTAACTATGGTTTAGATGGATAGATCCCGACACAGACTTTTGTTTATGTTTCCATTTCTGTACATTGGCCACCAAGATCCCCAGATTTGACACCCCTTGATTTCTATCTATGGGGTCATGTTAAATCAAAAGTGTACGAGGTGGAAATTACAAGCCTTCCTCAATTAAAAGCGAGGATCGTGTTAGTATTTGAAGAATTAAAGGTACAGAATACATTAGAATGCGTTCATGCAAATTTAATTCGAAGAATACAGTTATGTATGCAACTCAATGGGCAGCAATTCCAACAATTTTTGCATTAATAAAGTAAGTTAGTAACTAAATTACATGTCTTATTTTCATTTAAATCCACTCTAAATCCATAGGTAGAAATGAGTAATAAAGCACATCATGTTGATACTAATGATATTAGTACTACTTATAAGTGACTTATGACTTCTATCGAGATCCATCCATCTAAACGATAGTTAAGTGTACGCGTACTCGCTGAATATTCAAAAATGATTTTCTCGAGAACGAAGCCTCAAATGAAAAAATTCTTTTCTTTATTTTCGATTTGCTTTTTTATGTAGAATCACCCCCTCCTCGTTTGTACTACCGATGCTGGGACACCCTGTATACAACTTACAACTAGATAAACGAAATCGGAAAACAGAAAGAAATATATATATATAACTCGTTTCAAACAAAAGAAAGAAAAATAAAATGGTCAGTCTTGATTTGTCACAAAAAAGAAAGACGGAGATAGGGCGTTCTATGCCTTCACGCAGGTAAGTGATCGAGAAATTAAAAAAGAAAAGGAACGTTTCTCGGTCTTTCAAAAAAAAATCACAAACAAAAAAAAAACTATAATCACGCTTTTGTCACTGTCACTTCACTTAACCGGGTCCTTGGTCTTCATCCTCAGACCCAGTGGATCTTGCATGTTGAGTGTTGGTATCTCGATTTGCTGATCGGATGTCGTTCCCATATCAACGAACTGATCCAGGTCGTATGGGTCCTGAGCCTCTGGATCCGGCATCGGTGGGATGACCCAATCCGCCTCGGCGCTCGTTTCCACCTCGGCTTCATTTGTGGGGGGTGACTGCATCGTCTGCTTGGTCGTAACAACGGATTTCTCCACGGCTTCCTTGGTGACGGTCGCTACCATGACGGCTTCAGCGGTGACGGCTGACTCGGTCATTTGCTTCTCCCGTCGTCGCCTGCGATGCTTGCGCTGGTCTGACCGTAGTTGCACTCCCTTTCCTGGGATGCCTTTCCGGGGCGTTTGTGTTCTTCCGTCGACTGTATTGGTCGTCGCCTGCGTATGGCGGCCTCGCCGCGCTGCGCCCATTTTAACTTTGATCCACGGCCTTGACTGAATTGTGTGGAGCTGGGGTTCCTTTACTTTATGATAAACTAATTCACAGCCAGTTTGAGTGGCTTTGCTATGCATGAGCCACGGGGCATATGCCTGTGTGCCTCGTGACACGCTTCTATGTTCCGCCGTGGATATCATGACTGCCGGATCGTGACTGCTGGATGTTGCTGATGCTTGAGTATCTCGAGTGGGGCCTCTCCCCATTCCGGGATCTTCGATTCTTGATCTTCCTAGCACTCGCTAGGCTAGATCGATATTCTCCCTTCCATATGGATTTTCGATGGTCGCCGCCTCCTGGAGGGGATGCCGGTATGGTCGCAAACTCGACGCGTGGAATGTGCCCTTGATTTCCCCTCTTTCCGGGTGACGCAATTCATACGTCGCCGGTCCTTTGATCTTTGTAATTTTATAGGGCCCTTCAAAAAGATGGAAGAATTTTGCGATCTCTCGATCCGCGGCGTTGGATACTGGATTTGTTTTAACGAGTACTAAGTCGTTTTCTTTGAAGGGATATGCGACGCGTCCGCGGTTTGCACGTTCCATTCGTTTCGCAGCTTTCTTTGTCATGTTACCACGAGCGAGTCGTAATTTGGTGTGATGGTGAGTCCCTTGGTCATCTGGTGTGGGGTCAGTGGCGAACCATTTTTCCCATGGTCGATTGGGTGGCTTCTTCATCAATTCAAACGGAATGAATCCCGTACTGTCGTGGTGCAATTCGTTGCAGCACGTCTCGATCGTTTTTACCCATTTTAACCAGGTGGAATGTTTGTTTTTAATTAACGTTCGAAACATGCG